TTAGATTCAACAGGCTGAAAGTTTATCCTGAGGAGCTAAATGAGACAACTGCAGTCATTTCTCTGAGGCAGTTAACTGCACTGCAGTGCAGAGATGCAGCTGGAGACACACCGTGGAGTCTACTTAGAGTGAACACTGATACAGTGGAACTTGTTTTCTGTGAAGTAGAAAATACTCATTTGTGTGTGCCACTGTCCTCTCTGGGACTCTCCTGGAACAGCCCGAACTGCACAGCTAAGCCTTGCCCTGTGCTGTTCATGGGGAGGAGGTGGCTGATGGTATCTCCAGCCCAGAAGCTGATGGCAGTGCAGCTTCTGAACACAAAACTCGTGTCCTGCAGCCTGTCCTGGGCGTAGCAGTCCAAGCAGCACTGGTGTGCGGCACAGCCAGAGCCTCCACGGCAGTGCTGCACAGCCAAGAATGTGCTATGGCACGTATTTTAAAGAGTAAGCGGGGATCTCTGCAGGCTTATGCCTGTCCTCCACAACAAAAGATAGAAGACACGCTGCCTGTGGCATACTTCACACGAGGGGCACGGCTGTGCCTCAGCGCTACGCCCCACACCCACCTCCCAAAAATCAGCACTGAGTATCTGGGGAGAGCAGGGCAAAACCAAACTGTCCATCAGCTGGGCATGGATACGGGGCAGAGCAACCCCCATAGTCACCTCCAGATGGGAATTCTTGCTGCATCCTCCTCCCTGGCAGCAGAGAGCTCGGCCACCCGTCAATCCGCGCTATGAGCTGTGCTTGGTTGCCTCCTGCATCTCACATAGCCTTGCAGCATCAGCGCTGCCCGCAGGAACGGCAGGAGCAATCTCCTCGGGGTGACAGGCACCCAGGAGATCGTTCTGTGCAAGAAGCGAAGAGTTTCATGGACCGGCTGCACTGGATTACAAGAGTGTAAACTCAGTAGGGGAAACCTCACACTGTCTCCAAGTGCTCCCCTTTATATATAAATAAGCAATCCACAGTTAGTTTGCATACAGGTTAATATGAATTAAAATAAAAACCTTGGTAATAAAAATATATAATATACACATTGATCAACAGCAATAAACTGAATGAAAACACTAGAATGTAACAGTGGCTGCAATTTGGCACAAAATAAAAACGCACAAAGGTCTAGCACTGTAAAAATAAAAATTCATTTTGTTTTTTCCCTAAGTAAGAGAATGTTATTAATCCTGATTCAAATCCTGACAGGTGGGAATGCTGAGATATAAAAATACTGTACATACAAGATCCCTTTTACAGAGTCAAGCAGACTGCAGCATTTGTAACTTCTGTCCTTCCTCCTCAAGAGGAGAAATTCAATGATGAGACTTCATCTATCCCCCAACAGCTGGTATTTTCCCACCCCCACCAAGTTCAAAACCATGCAGTTCTTTAAAAAAGATGAGATTAACCTGTTGGATCTATCCACGTGACGACAACCGCTTCTGGCTGCAGGAAGCTGTACAGTCCACATTAAGACAGTGTTTCATAGCAAGGTGACTCAGATCAGCCTGCTGAAGACATCGAGTATCCCTGCGTGTAAGGCACGATCGCTCGGGCTTGCCCGACCTCTCTTCTGCAGACCGCTGTGCTTCGGACGGAGGCAAGGAGGTGGCGCGAGCTCTTGCTGGTGAGATGTGCCTACTACGGAGATTAGGAAGTGCCAGGATTTCACGGTGATGAGTTTTCCACGTGGCGCCTGTTGCCTTGTTAATGCACAGAGTCAGAAAGGGATGCAAGACCTGAATGAGCTGGGCAGAAGTCCTGGCGAGGGCTCCGACATGCTAGTAAATCCAGAGAGAAACCATAGGCAATAGGCAAAGCTACTGAAACTTGGCAAGAGAAGACAAGGTAAAAATAAAGTTACTAAAACATTTTTCTGTCATAGAAAGGAAATATTGCTCTGATTGCTTCTTTTTAAAAGATAAACTTCACCGTGCCTCTTTCCAGGGCAGGGACACGGTGCTGATTTTGCATCTCGCCTACAGAAACTGCATCTTCTGGACTCTCAGCAGAACTGTGGCTCCTGAGGCCCAAGACAAACTGGCTCCTTGTTCATCCATGATCCTAACTGTTGTTGACCTCAATGGGATGACAGAATCTCCTTCCAAAAGTGGTTACTAAACACGCAAGTCCAGTTGCAACCTTTGCCTAAGGAAGTCTCTAACCTGCTGACTGCGTGAGCCCCACCAGGTACGTTAGATGAACAATTGCTCTGTTTATACCATCTACTACACGCTTTCCTCAGCTACCATTCCAGCATTTCTGTTTCTCTCAATAGATGTCAGCCCATTTAACAAAACCTCAGGGCCTCCCTGTTCACAAGGGCTATGGAAAAACAAAACAGGAGAAACACTTACAATGAACAGCAAATGAATAAAGGTAAGGAGTAAGAATAAAAATGTAAGGACTAAGGGAGGATATAGATCAAAGCAGCCCATAAAGCATTCAGCACTCCCTGAAGGCATCCAAGGAAGCAGCAGGTACTCCTGGGATCCTTCCCTTGGGCTCTTGCCTCTTGGTGCCATGGCTGGGGAACTTGGCTGACCCGAGGAGGCCATTAAAGAGATCCTGCAGCTCCACCGAGTAGGCACTGAGGTGTTCTTCAGACTTTACCCAGCTTCCAAATAAAACCAGAGTAAAGTCAACAACTTAGATACTCCCAAGCATCTCTCCCAAATTGACAGATTCTTCAAACGTCAGTGGGCTCAGGGCCTTCATGACTTTTCTGATGAGAGTAAGGCAGAAGTTAGTTGACTGCCGTACAAGAAAGCCCATCACAGCCAGCTACAGAGGCACAGGGAGGGCTGAATTCCAAGCTGGCGATCTCCCCTTGCCTTCTGCAGAGGTCACCATCTTTCCCCATGCACAGTGACTACAAAGCACAAACACTTTCCGATTTGGTAGGATTCTTCCCCATCCAGTTTTCACAAGCACACCAGATGACACAAGCAGCAGGGCCTGGACTGGGGTGTTTGTAGAAAGTATTAGTTCATAAAACCCCACCAGACATCCATTTCACAACAACAAATACTCTGATGGCAATGAAGGGGAAAAATCCATGGGAAAAAAAAATGGCATTTTCAGCAGTACAAATTTTGACTGTTACATGAAATACAAAAATAAATTTTTACAAAAGTTAAATCATTGCAGATGAGGTTGCCACATTGGCCCAAGTTATCAAACGAAACAGAAAAAAAATACGGTCTATGTTGTTCTTTTTCCAGATCCTTTAAAACAACATTAACACTTCTGAATGGACAGAGATGGAACTAGAAGAGGGAACAAGGCAAGGACAGTAAAATCTAGCCGCTGGCTGGGATATTTCCTGAGAAGCAGCAGCAAGCAAGCAAGGGCTTGCGAGTCACTTAAGGGTTCAAGCAGGTGAGCAAGCCCACAGTCTGGAAGCACGGGTATGCAGCTAACGGGATGCTGCTGATGCACAACGTCTTACATCACAACATTTTTGGCTAGTGTATGCTTGGAGCAGAGGTCTACTGGGGGTTAACTGGTTCTTCACAGGTAATGAACTGCTGCCAGCATCCCAGTGGGGGTAGGAGATGGAAGTTTCGTGAGTTGCTGGTCAAGGCAAGGCTCATGCTGCAGTACTGAATGTGCCCCTGTAACTTCTGCGAAGAGGGAGTTGCGTTGTCTTGCTAGTGATTTGTCTCTGTAACTATCCTGACCAAGAACAACAGCCAAGCTTAAAGCCTTACAGTCGCCTCTGGGCTTGAATTGTGCATTACTGCAAGAGCAGAGAGCCATGATCTCTTCCAATTTCCCACCAGTGCTCCATGCCAGCATGTGCTCTCCACAAAGTTCTACAGCTCCATCAGGCTCTTCTCCCAGGCAGATTGATGTTGAGGGTAAGTACAGTCACGGCTCTCACTTCCCTCCTCATAGCCAGCAGCAGAACTGCAGGTGCCAGCAGCAGCCAAAGAGCGTGGTGGGACAGACCCAGTGCCGGGCATTAATGAAGCTGGGCTGCAGGGGCAACACAGCCAGGCTTGCTGCCATGAACTGGGCTGGCAAGTGAACACCTAGTCTGTACTGGCTGAACAGACTCCAAGCCAGTGTCCAGATGCTCAGCTTCGTTGTTTAAAAACACACTTGAAAAAATGGCAAAAAAATTTATTAAAAAGACAAAAGAATTTAAATGAGGAGAGGCCAAGGGAAAAGGCTACTTGTTTGTGCAAGGGAAGAATGATTTTCAAAGACTGGACGGAAAACAAGCCATCAAAGGGGGGGCGGGGGGGAAATCACTGCATGGGAGAATCTATACAGACAACTTCAACTTGCAGACCCCGCTACGCCCTAGAGCGCAACAGTTTTATCCTGTCTGGAGTCTGCCTGGGGTGCTGGATGGAGCAGTGTAGAGGGGAGGCAGTCAGCACAGACATTGTGTGGACTGTTCCGCACTCTGTGTCTATTTTAAAGATGCCTGTAACAGTACATTTTGGATTCAATGCCCACATGGCCCTACTTCAGTCCCACGTTTCCAAGACATATGCAGGTTCATACACAAGTTACTGTACTCAAGTGCACCAGCAACTGAGCTAGAAGTTGCAGTAGTTCCTACTTGGCTTCAGTGGAATTCCTTGGCTTCTATCACACTGAAGCTCAAAGCAGGTGACCACAAAGGTCCCTTCAGGCATTTAAACCTGTTGGTATGATTCTTCCCAACCCACAACTCACAGCTTCATCAACTCCCTGGCATGTCTTAAAAGTCATGCACACAAGGTCTAATTTCAGCTGAAATTGTGTTTCCTCTTAATTGTTCTATCCTATATCCTACAGCTAAATGCCTGGTTACACACTCTACCCAGATTGCTGGAAACCCTAGAAAGAAGCATAGCAGTTAAAGAATTTTGTTCTACAGGCAATTTCTTCCTCACCAGTCCTACGTTCTGGATTTTGCTGGTGTACATTATGAAGATCCTCTCTCCTTCCTGCTAGCACGACTGTCAGGTTGGCTCAGCTGTCTTGTCCAGCACAGGAAGAACCACGTTTCCTCTTCTAACTCTCTTTGCTAAGTCATCCCAATATGGAAAGGACTTGAACTTCCGACGTTCTGCTGCATTGCCATAACCCAGCTCTTATCTTGGATTTTCCTCCCTGTTGTATGTGCATCTCTATTTGTCAAAGCTCCAGCCAAAGCTCAAAAATAAAAATAAAATGAAAGCCTCAAAAGAATGTAAGAGGGAGCTGTTAAGTCAGCTAGTTGATTCACACAGCTCAGCAGCGGCTAGATTATACTGCACTGCTTAAGTGATCACATATGAGTAAGAAATTGAAACAAACAAGTGTTCCTTATTAATATGATGACACTTCAAGAGGAGATCCTGGGAGTGGAGGCTGTACCTCCCATCGGGTAAGGAATCAATAAAGTTGCCTGGCAATTCCAGTACTGTTTGCTACAGAAGAGCCAGTACCAAAGCAAAGGCTAGCACAGTTTACTGCTTCCTACGGGAACCTGGAAAGCAAAACAGAAAGAAAAAAAATCATAAGGATAGATCCTGGTGAAGAAAATACTACCTGCAGTCATCTTTTACTTGTCCTGTCCTCTTGGAGGTCTGTGTGACTTCCAGGGTACTGGTAAAGCCAAATGCCAAAATGAGAAACGTATGTTATATTACTGAAGAAAAAGGAAGGACAGGTCCACAAGAGAGGCAGAAATTTGCATTTCTTCTAGGCTATGAACAGCACTGCAGCCACATTGCACAGTCTCACTAAAGAAAATGGAACGAACACGGCACTTACAGACTCTATAAAGTGCCATCAACTTTCCAGCTTGTTTGATGAAGACAGAATGCAAAAGTTTCCCAAACTTTACATTTTGGGAAGTAAACTGTCCATATTTTAGTCATAATCAGTGGAGCTGGAAGAAATCTGAGTGACTGAGTCAAACTCTCTCTGCCCCTTTCCTCCCCCAGGGACTCTACAGATAACTCAGACAACAGGCATTCAGATTTAAAAAACCGGGGGGGTGACCCTAACCACACTGCTCCTGTGCCGAGCAATTTCAGGACACGAGCCAACAAAGCAGCGCTGAGATGCTACATGAACAAAACAAGTCAGATCTCAGGACAAGCCTCTGTGATCATCCCATCTGCCTGCCAGACAGGTGATGCTGCAAGGTTTTGTCTTGTATTGGATTGTTCGATACTGGTGAGTCACGTAAAATCCATCACGTCATTGTCTTCATGTTATTTCTCCTTGCTGCCTGAATTTACAGTCATTCATCATTAAGAGATCACAGAGGACACGCAGAGAGCAGTTTGACAAACTCAAGGCAAACCAATTCAGCTTTTTTAGTCTCTCAGCCTGCAACATGCTCAGCAAATACAGCTCGAACTAGCACCACCTGCCTGCTGGGGCAATAATCTCCATTCCTCCTCTGTTAGCATCAATTTCAAACATCCTGTCCTGCAAGCTGCTTATCTGAGGAAAACAGCCCACAATAACCCAAGTGCTGGGGCAACCACAGGCTTGATCCTACCTTTAGGAGAGTGCTCAGGTTTGGGGATCTGGCGCAAGGGGCTGGGCTGGCTTGTGTAATACCGAGGGTGTTCAAAGTCATCGAGGAGAGGCTGTGACCTGCCAAGCAGAGTGAAAAAGAAGTGCTGGCAGAAAAAAAACTCAAAGGCATAACAGTGTGGCAAAAGCAACATCTCAGCTGCCTCATCTGTCCCTATCAGTTTGATGATGTGTCTGGCCCAGACTTTTTACCTGGAGAGCAGCTCCTCTGAGCATAGCCCATTACTGTTTCTGCAGTGAGAAATGCACAGCATCTACTACTTCTCATGGACTGCTTTAATTTAATAATGGTTTCAAGTTGCTGGGAAACAAAGAATTTCCATTATTATGTTTGATGCAAACCTCACTCACAAGATCAACATTTTAAAGTGTTTAATGCTTGCCCAGTATTAAACCCAGAGTATTTTAATAAGATCTGTCTCAGTCTCCACTTGCAACCTCGTCTGTTGTTTCTTTTACTAACTCCAGACGAATTTCTAGGCTCTTATCTGGATTAGAAATCAAAGCCACGATCACTTCCAGGGTTCAGTCCCTCATGAGGAGCATTGGGCCAGGGTACCAAGTGATTTAGAAGCAGCACTGGGCTACAGCACATTCCCATCAGCTCAGGAATGAGGTATTCCAGAGCACACTGTACTTGCTTGCAGGTGCGTGTCCATTCGCACCAGCAGGAGCGGTGTACAGGGCTTAACTGCGAGCAAGGACCCAAGGCAGCAGCTGTGCAAATACATCGTGATTATTCCTTCCTGCCCAGAGATGACATTTGGTTTCACATCCCCAGCAGCTCTTTAACCCTCTCCATATTTCTCTGCCATTTAACAAATATCACTGCACTAGCTCATCAATCTCCATCAGCGCCAGGCAGGGAGACAGATATGGACAAACGCCACGAGCACAGCAAGTGATGCGTATCACTGAGCACCTCACGAGCTCTGTGCCCTCCATCTCTTCTCAGTGCTAAACCCTGTGCTCTCTATCAAGCCCCTTGTGTGTGGGTCAGGCTGGTCACCCCACAACTCCTCCCTAGGACTCATCTTCTGAGCAGCTTCCCAGCTTCATTTCCCCCTTTTTACCATCCAGTTCCAAGCTCACCTTGAAGGCCTGTCACCTTTGTGTCGCTGAGTTTCAGGCCCTTCTTTTGACCTTGAGCGTGTGGACTCGCTTGCATCATGCTGCTGGGAAGAAGGGAAAAGCAGCTCACCTGCGTGCCTTGCAAGACACCAGCCAGTGCACTGAGGCTGCCGCAGCTCCATGAAGCAGTCCTTTCGTGCTCAGTTTATACACACAACCAACCACAGCCAAACACGTGCAAACAGCAGTACCAGGACTAGTTTCCAGTAAATGAAACTCAGCCTTGCTCAGTCTAACTCAGTTTTTGCTCTAAATATGAGACAGCACTGGGGGACCCGTCCCGAAGCTGGGGTCGAACGCAGTCAGTGTGTAATCACTGTGCACATGGCTGGGCTCAGCACGAGGGACCAGCTACACGCAGCTGTGCTCCTGCAACCACTCAAACATAGTAAGCAGGCTGCAAGCACCAGAGCTACCTCCAACTGGACCTAAGATTAACACAACAGCCCCTTTAGCACCTCACCAGTGTAGACCATGAAATCTGTTTCCTATCACCTTCCACATGGACTAGCCAAGCCTCTGCAGCATTACTCATACAAAAAACTAGGCTTGACACACTCAATACTTTCATTACAGAACCAATTACATTCTGAAGCAGAGCGACAACCGGAGCAGCTGCGCTGTCCTTCTACCTGCAGTGCACAAGCAGAACCAACTACTGCCTCTATTGCTGCAGTCAGGATTTCAGCAGAGGGAGGACAGACAGCACTTGATGGAGGCCACAAGGTGTTGGGACATCCAGTGCCAACCTCCGAGGCCACAGCCCAAAGCTTGCCTTGCTTGACGCTGAAGCCAAAGAGCGTCTAACCAAGGAGGTGGCTCCAAAAGGCCTGGGAAGCAGCTGAATAACAGGCAGCAAGACCCTGTGGATGTAAGGGTCCACATCATTCCTTTTGCTCTCACCTCACACCCTCACTTCCCTCTGGAAATGGGAATAACAGTACAGCATTTCACTTGTGGCACCTCCTGAAGCTTGACATACCTTCCAGTCTTGATCATGCCTCCTCTTTTCAAAGGAAGACTTTTCTTTCTCCTTCCCTTTCTTGAAAGCCTTTTTCTCCTCAGCCATCAAGAGTCGGGCAATTTCCTAGAAGGGAAAATACAGAGTGTGCCCGATGGTTTTACTTTAAACCCTTTCCTGTGGGAAGCTGCCAGATGGGAAGGTTGCAAAGCCCATCTACAATCAGAAATCAAGTGACAGGGAAGACGGAAGACTGACTACATGCAGCACACCCAGTGGATCCCTGATCTGCCAGAACTGCGTTTGCAGAGCCTTTCTGCCCTGTATCCCTTTTCCTTCCATGGGGTGGGGTCACCTCACAGCATCTCTGAGAGTCTCCCTTGGACCTCAGTTACAAGAAATGCTCTTAAACAGCCATGAACTTCCTTCCACCATGGCTGCCACTGGTAGCACAACTGCCTGCTTAGCCAGCAGGAGCATACACATGAAAACCACTCACGGTCAAACCCCACCGGAGCCCTGAGCTTCCCCTACAAGGAGGGAAACGAGCAATTAGAGTCAAAGGGGTCAAGACTTGAGCTGCCTTCTGATCTGCCTCGTTAGCCTTTGGAAAAAAAAAATAGGGGGGGGAAATATATAAAAACATAGAGACAAAAGAATATCACCTCTGTATTATTCACACCCATTAATCTACCGGGCAGGGCAAGTAGGTGCCCATACAAATACGCTACCATCCTCTCCAAATATACTTAGCTACCTTAATAATTATGTCATAACCCGATACCAAGCTGTCATTTCACCTTTTGAGCTGAGTTTTGCTCTCGTGTATCTGTCAGACCACACCACAATGCACTGCCCACCCCGCTGCCCTCTCTCTCAAAGATCAGCACTGGCTTGTCTCGCTTCTGGGCTGACCACACTGACTACAGGCCATCTTTACCTGCCTGGAAATGTTCATTTAATACCACCCTGCTTCAATCGTTTAAGTTTTGGATGTTTATTTCAGAAAACAGGGCTCTACTGGCTGGATGCCAGCTGTCACTCCATATCTGTGTGTACGGGAGACAAAGCTAATTACCAGAATGCACAGTAGCAAGACCTTAAGTCTTAAAGTCACTATCATATATAAAAGTTTTACAAATTAAAGTTGTCATCACTGGCTGCCTTAGTTTCTTCGAGTTGACTAATGCATCCTCTGTACTCACCAGGAGCTCTTCCTCCTGCAGCTTCCGAGCAATCTCTGCATCAGACAACTCCTGTTCCCTTCGGGGTGTATCATACATGGCTTGTCTCGTCCCCATCAACCTAGTGCCTACAGAATTGCGAGAGAAAATAAATCAACTCAACCGTTTCCCACACGCTTTGGTAAGGAAATCCACACCATCTCCCCAGCCACCTGCAAAAGCCCTGCTCAAGGGAACCAGAGACCACTGCCAGACAGCTGGTTTGAGCTTACCTTTGGCCGAGGTGCAGCACGCACCTTAGGGAGGTTTCTCTATACACACAGAAGTATCTGCTACACCACGTCTTATGGGACAAATAGCAGAAGAGGCCACAACCCTTGAAGCAGTCTTTGCTGACATAGCGATGCTGGCAAAGGAATCACTTTCCCTCCCCCCCCGCCCCGTGTTGATACAGATACACTGGCAAAACTGGACAGCAGAGAGCAGCCCAACAGTGTTCAGAGCCCCGCAGAGAGTCAGTGAACACACTGCTGGAGCGGCACAGGCTGCAAAAGTCACCTGGGACAGGTCCACATGAGGTCTGAGACAACTTCTTCCTTGGGCTGACCCATGAATTTTACAATTCACAGTGAGAAAACAGCCAAGTAAACATTTCTGAAGTTCATACAAGGTTCAGTTCAGTTTTATTTGTTTGTTTATTTTAAAGTTAAACCATCTCCAAGTGATCTAAAATGTTGCATTTTGAGAGTCTCTCCATAGCCTATTTGCACCAGGCCATCAAAAGAGCCTCACTGCCTTCACTCACGTGCAAGGAATGCCTTCTCCTTCCATCTGCAGTCTGAACTGTATTGTTCAGGCATCTTGGGACACCTAAATGAGCTTTCTGCTTTATATCCAAAGTACATAAACACTGCAGATGTCTGTCTCTTGCACCTCAAACCTAAAAAGTTTCACTCAAAACTTTCATGCCTCCAGCTACACCATTTACACATTTATTATAAATACCTGTTCCATCTTACTGGGCCACCTATCAGTTTCCTTCCCATCTTCTAAGACCAAGGGAAAAATACGAAGAAACCAACTGACCTCAAAAAACTTTTTGTGCATCTACCAACAAACTACCGTCATACTCTATCAAGCATCCCGAAGACTTCAATCTGCAGAGGGCCAGAGATCTCATGAACCAACCTGGAGTAAAACCATGGAATAGGAAAACACCTCTTCTGTAGGTATTAAAGGAGGTATGGGGGGGGTTCTGCTTTTTGTTATGTTCAAATCAACTGATCAATGATCTTAAACAATTACACCCCTCTTACAAACCATCTTAGCATGAGAAGAAAACTTCAGCTCTGGCATGTTATGGTCAAATGTGTGACCTGGCATTTCCCAGCATGCTTTGATCAATCCAAGTTGTGAAGAGCTGCAGTCTCTGGCCAGCACAGAAAGCCTGGCAAAAAGCACCAGCTTGGTCAGAGTTAAATTATTCAGAGTGCTTCCAAACTCAAGGTAAACACAGTTTTACCATGCTGGAATGAACAACAGCATGGCCGACAGGCTCCTGTACAGTATTACCTCTATGAAGAATACATTTCCAGGAATTGTTTGCTGGCCAGCCCAAGCCTGAGCTTTCTCCACACGCTGATCGGTGCCAGGCTTCGTTTGCTCAGAAGACAACAATAAATGCTACTTCCACATCGCTTCTGCCCACAAGCAGGGGAGCACAAAGGCCACCACAACCACGGCCCACAGGAAGGGGGTGTGAGCTTCTGGCTATTTTGACTCAGTGTGACAGGGTACTGAGTCACTCGGACCCACACTGTATCAGGGTAAATCATGACCTACTGATTATATATAAAAACCTGATTAACACCTTCCACTTTCCCAGAGAAAACTCTTGCATGATGAAGAATAATTCTCCCAGCATCTCCAGAGACAGACATGCACCATTAGCCACACTTTATCCAAGTGAAGACCAGTTAGATGGTGTAAAGCATAAGTTCCCATGCTGTGACAGACATAGATCCAAGTCTCTGCCTCCTACTTTCACTAAGAGACAGGTCACCCCCAGTGTGGCTTTAAAAGCAGAAAGATGGGTCTGAACCTTTAAAATCCTCAAGTATTATTGAAAAACAAGAACTACACAGGTACACATTTCCCAGAAAAATCCACCAGTACAGAATTTAAGAAGAACCCCATCTTACAAACAGAGCCCAGCCAGACACCTGGTGCCACTACAGAACTCTGCCAGAAGCGAATTGATTATGTTGCCAGCAGGGTTTTCAATAAGAAGCGGATGGGAATTGCTGCCTTGTTAGTGCTTAAGTGAACTGTCTTCACTTACAGCCTTGCATCCCAAATCAACAAAACACAAGTGTAATTGTAACATTTGGGGTTTTGTTATTTTTTTTTTTCTCCTGTGCAAGGAGACCACAGCATAAAATACATAATGAAAACACAAACTGGCTGTTGGTTGGTTGTTTTTTGGGTTTTTTGGGTGGTTTGTTTTTTTTTTTCCCCCAAAACCAAGGGCATCATTTCCAACAACACGTTACTACTCATCCCCTCTGACACCATGGAACATGTCAGGAAATGAACAGAGCAAGAACATCAACGGATAAGAAGAATCTCATGAAATAAGGGAGAAACCTGGGCGGGATTCGCCATGTACGCATTGCAGGTGGGTATCAGAGATAAGCACGTTCAGAGGAAACAACACGGATTTCAGACACCAGGATGGGAGGTGCAAAGGTCCATCCCCAGACGTACGCACACCTTCCCCATCACTTGGTTACCTGAGTCTCGCCGGCAGTCTCCAGCCTTCCCCTGGGTCACAGCATGCGGGGAGGAGGAAGGCCTCCTGTGTCCTGCCCTTCTGCAGTCTCTCTGCTCACCCCTCCTATTATCATCTCTAGCTTCAGCATCATGGAGCTTCTCGTTACGCACCGTCCTGTGTGAGGAGCGGCCCTGATGACGAGATTTGTGTTTCTCGGGGCGCACCAGCTGGCTGCCGCCCCGATGCCAGGTCTCCTGCTCAGCCTCCAGTTCCATCTCAAGAAGAGGAAGGTGCTTTTCTCCATCTTGCTTTGTCGGCTTTCTGCCGTGCCGCGCCTGGTCTGTGAGTTCATGCTCTGACTCCAGGTCAAGACTGAGAGGTCTCCAGGCCTTCTCCCCGCCAGCTGCTCTCCTCTCCCGCGGCTCCCAGCTACTGCTGTGGTCGTAGGCACCACGCTCAGCCTCTCTTTCCAGGTCAAGGCTGGGAGGTCTCCTGGACCTCCCCTGGCTGGCTGATTTCCACTCCTGCCGATGGCCATTGCCAGCCTCGCTTGGTTGAGGAGACCTCCGGCGACCCTCCGAGGGGGAATGCCCGCATCCCGAGGAGCCATCGGACAAAGGCGAGGGTGCTTCTCGGCGCTCTCTCCGCCAGCGCGCGCACCTGCCACCACTGCGGGCCCTGCGTGGCTCAGAAACCTGCTCTCTGGAGTCACCCCAGGGGTGCTCTGAGCAATGAGGGGGACAAACAAGGAGCGGGTTAGTGGTGTGAGGTTAGTCATGGTTCGATGAGGCCAGACTCACAGCACGCAGATGAGGGAGCTCGATGCAAGAAGCTGGAAATGCAGGCAAAGCGCGGTGGGATGAGAAAGAAAAATCCGCAGGATATAACGGGAGGAGGAGGGAAATGGAGCCTGGCTGGCAGTCAGGCAGTACAGGAGGCAATGCGGTTGGAGCAGAAAGCACAGGTCCAGCCCGAAACGATGTCCAAGCACTTCCCAAGACAAGGACAAGTTAACATGAAGGACCTTCAACGATGCCATTGGGGCTGTAAAAAATCAGCCAGCAGAGCAGCTCATCTCCTGGTGCCACATCAGTGCTGCAGGATATTGGAACCATCAGAGAAAGGCTTGCAAAGGAGGGTGCAAAAGGCAGGTGAGGCTGGCAGGCAACAGAGGGGTGTGAGGCCAAGCACAGGGTCAAGTTGGATCCCAGTTTATGAGCAGTGGCTTCAGGCACAAGGTTTTGCATCATTAAAAACAGCCTCACCTAACAGGGGGGAAGACTCACATAAAGAAAAAGAGACAAGTGGGATGGGATTTTATAGTTTTTTTTTTAAAGCTCAAGAACAAGATGATGGACAGCTGCAGCATCCAAATATCTTCTACCACAGACTGTCAACGTATCTCTTGCGGATCCAGAATTTTCAGGGCCGACACTTCCTTATTGCCTAAATAAAAGTTTAGGCTCTGACTGCAGCGAGGGCTATGGAAATTTAAGGGCAGGAAAAGACTTCACAAAACCCAGGCTCCTGACCTCAGCAATGTAGGGGGAAAAGCCGCTTGCTCAGCAGCGTAGCACGGTTGTTTCCTCCGTGCTTTCCAGAAAGCAGGTGGAAATTCTCTTTGCTTTTAGTTTCAGCAATAAACGTAACACAGCTCTGAGGATGCAGTAGTCTGCCTGTATAAAATCTGCTGACCGATTTGTTTTCCAATCAACGTATTTGCTAAGAAAAATTACTGCACCGAGTGAACTGTTATCTCTACAGCGGGTTTTCAGAATGAAGGCATATTTCTGAAGAAAAAAAATTTCCTTGAAGCAGAAGCTGATTTTGAACAGAACTATACAAAAAAAAAAAAAACAAAACCAGCAGTGTAAGATTTTACTTCTCCACTAGTGAGTTTTTACAGTATCCAAAAATATTTAAAATAGATTTCACTGCACATGAACTGCATTCTGTTTTAATAAATAGCTCTGCCTTCTGTATGATAATCCAGATTTCAGAAGAAAACCCACCAAAACTGAATGTTCCCTTCAACTCATTCTACTTAGAAAAACCCTTTTCAGAGCCAGAAAAAATATAGCCCACAGAAAATCCACCTTGAAAACAAATCTGCGTGACTTTTATCCAGAATAGGTATATTTTTAAAAATCCAGGAACTGTCAGAGTAACCACAGAAGTTCCTATTAACTGGTTGGCTTTTCTGCTCAGTTTTAGATCATTCACATGATTTACAGAAAACAAATATCCAATAAAACAATCTAAGTGACTTACTGAACAACAGAGACCAGGGCCTGAAAGCAAGAGTCAGTTCTAAGAATTAATTCAATTTTCTCATTAAGGAAAGCTCAATAAATACAGCAGTAGAGAGCAGGAGACCATGGAAGAGAGAAGGGTGGCTGCGCATGGAAAGGCTCAGTGCAGGTCACACACCCATGCCAGACAGCCTGAGCAGAAGATTTGCTTTTCGGGTATCTCAGGGCGATTAACTCCTCGGCAAGCGCCGGTTCCTGCGGCACCTTCCGCAGGGGCCGTGTAAACACTCTTTAGGACCTGGTGTAACTCTCTCAAGCAGCAAGTGACTGAGCAAATACAGAAATGTTTTTCATGGCACAGATACTCCTGGGAGGAACTCTGTGCCTTCTTTCACGTTTGTTTTTCCACTTTATAAAAGCTCAGACTGCTCTGAAGCAATAGCCTTAATCCACACTCCTCCTGGATGTGGATAAATTTTTATTCAAGATAGACTAAAACCCAAACAAAGCAAGGGCTTTTTTGGTTTAAGTTCACAAGTAACAAAGACAATACAAAGCAAGGATGCTGAAGCCTAATCAAATGGTGCCCAAGTATTTAACAGGTTCTAGATCAAAGGACGAGATGATCCAGGCATCAAAATCCACTTCAGTCCTTTCTAGTTTTTAAGGAGCAAGGATCAAGAGCAGCACTACTATGAATGGACAGGCAGAACACCTTCTACTTCACCTCTAAGACTACAGATTATCGTAGGAGGAAAAATCAGACCCACAAGGTACGCTGCTCTCCAAATACACACCACAGCCTCAGTTCAGAGAGTCACAGGCTTTCGCCAGCTGATTTCTGTTATAAAAATCCATCCTGTCCTACCATCTCTGCATGGCAACACTATTACCTATACCGTACTATTTCAGGGACTTGTCCCATTTAATTCTGAAAAACTGAAGTGTGGGTTGGACATAAGACTCCAAGATCAAAGTCTTTTCCAGCTCTGTAGACGTAGCAGGACTTGTGCTAATCACATTTCCACTTGGTTACTGTTTCACATTTTGTGCTTTATATTTTCTTGGTCATCCTTGAACTTCTTCCGAATTGAAACTAAAGTACTTTGTGTAAGTTCAAATAAAACACATTTGAAATCTCCAATGGCATCAATGTTAAAATGAGAAATAAGAGGTTTGATCTTCATCTTCACAATCTGTTAATCAAAAGCAGCCTCTCTCTTCCCTAGCACGTTTTTTTCCAAAGAAAGAACACAAGAACCACCACCAGTGCACAGCAAAGCCATCCCCAGATTGCTCCATAATTAAACATACCCCGATTCTCTCCTCCCAATTTAAAGAAGGTCTGTATTCAATCATAAAAGCCAACGAAGAGAAAGCCATACAGCGCTGCGGGTCATATCTTTTCCACAACGTACAGTCCCAGATGGTAATCACAGCAGAGACACTCTGTGGCGATGACCTTGTTATTCAGCAAGTCATCCAACGCGGCTGTGCTAATTGTAATGCTTGGGTACGTACCTGCGAGGAATTATTTTCTGAAAGGCTGTTTCATGAACCAGCATTTATTCCTTTATGCACACAGCCGTGCCAGCATCGCAGATGAGCATGAGGAACTGTTTTTCTTCAAACGCAAGTGTGGAATTGCGTCTGCATTTCTCCCCCGCACGCTTGCGGTGTGACATACAAGTAACTGTGGCTTATCACTACCATCAGCTACTGTCTTCTTCCACAAGCCCTTTCAAAACATGCATGCAAAGGTGTGCTTGCACATACACACACCACACACCCTATCGCTGTCCTTCAGGCCACCTTCTAGGACATCAAAAATTATAAAAATGTCTTCTCCACTTTTTTATTTGTAAGTATTCCCTGATTCTAGAATGAATTCTCATCCTGACCCTGTAAACTGATGCAGTGCTACAGTGCTAAATGCAGGACTGCAGGAGAAGGGAAACCTCCTAAACAGAGTTGCCAGATCACCAGGTTCATCTATACTGCCATGATCTTGATCCTTTATCTAGCAGAAACGTACCTCCATTTTCTGCGTAATAGCTATCTTCATAGACTGTGTGTCCCTGGGATTCTGGGTAATGCTTCTTCCGCTTTTTTTCTTCCTGCAGTTCTTTCTGTTGTAGGAGACGGGCAATGTCCTGCAGAGATGGAATAAAACTGACATTACCTTTCCCCCTCTAAAAAAATATCTCCACATTCTTCTATTAAAATACTTTATCCAATTATAAAAATCCTGATAGTTTAGTTTTTCAGACAGGGCAACAACAGAGTTACTCTCAAATTCAACCTCTGGGCTGGACGGGGCTTCCAACATAGAAGCTGACACAAGGGACCACCTGAGCAACCAGTACCCAACCTCACCCAGGCCTACCACAGAGCTTCCAGCCCCGCGGCCGACTTGCAGGCTCCTACTCTGCGTGCACATCCCTGACGGCCAAAGCACGGTGGAAAGGAGTGCAAAGACCGTCTCCAGCTGAAGGCACTTCTGACTGGAAGGAGTTCTCAGAGCAAGTCATGAACTTGCTTCAAACTAGCTGTAATTTACAGGGACTGCAGCATGTCAGGCAGGGAAATGCATCAATCTGACAGACAGAGGCTGAAGGAAAAGAAAATCGAAAGGGACGTTAGGAAGAAAGGACTCGGCACAAGGCAGGAGCACTGCGGGGGCTACAGCTGTTTATCTTCTGTGGCAGTTTTGGTAGATACGCCATCTAAGAGAATAACACTCCATTTTCCTAATTGGTTTTCCTTCGAGATGACTAATGGATCAACAAGGCCTAGCAACAGCAAACAGCTCCCTGGGGCTTGCTCATTTGGGGCCCAGAAGCTTGCGAGTCAGTGGAGCTAGTCTGGAGCTAGGACAAGAAGCTGGAGGATACCAGCAGGGCACACCAGCCCTTTGGACGCTGTTCATTTAAGCCTCCCTAATCCTTACGACATTTACGGAGCCACGCATGTAAAGTGTACACTAGAGGCAGGAAAGGTATCACTGAAATGCAAACCAAGAGCCAGCACCCTCCAAGGCAAAGCCAGCACTGGAGGACAACTACAAGTTCAAGTACAAAATATTATTTCAGGATTCGGATCAGATCTGGTCAATAACCAGCTTTGTGGAGGGCCTGGGGATGCTACAGGCTCTTTACAAAAAAAAAGAAAAAAAAAAGAAAAAAAAGGAAATAAAAGAAAAAAAACCCCTCCCCTGACAAGGTTAACCTCCTCTAGCAAGTACAGTAAGTCTATAAATATATGGGCTTAAGCACATTATCTCCAGGACTGAGACAGCTCAGGACTTGCAAATCCACACAAACCATTTCTTACAAACTGGACTTGTAAGCTGGCAGGCCTAGCGCTTCGTTCAAAATCCCCGTGCACCAGACTGGGTCTGCCTCGAGCAGAGCACTGCCGCAACACTGCTAACGACTACTGATACCGGAGAGCTATCGCGGACGCTGGGCAGCTGCTACAGCCTCACATGTGACAAACACCAGGCCAGCCCGGCGTGTGGCCAGTACCAGAAAACTTTCTTTCACCCAGAAAGTCGTGCAGGGCACGGGTACAGATGCTGGGCAAAGGCCACAGAAGGGGTTCTGATGTTTGTCACTCTGCCAGCTGACGAACCCCTGGGGCATAGTCACTCGCGTTGCTCAGGCTCTGTGTCAGCGCAGCAGCACACCCCAACAGAAACAACGCTGTGGGGGGGCCGTGGAAGGGAAGCAGGACCAATTCAAGCTCTCCATGTCCTGTTGCGAGGACAGGCGGTACTGCCACACCCCGGTACCCAGCTGCAGCCCAGCTCCATCCACGGTTACATTCCAGCCACACTTGGGAGCTTGCCATGTACCAGCAGGAAGAGAAACAATATTTATGAGTTATCCTCATTGCTTTGAGCCACATTCATTTGAAGATTGCTCCGAACAGCACAAGACAGTCAGCACGCTGGTTGGACAGGTTGCAGGGACCTGCTGACAGACTGCTGACATCCCAGCAGCTCTCAACATAAAGCAGGAAGGAAAGGTGCAATTCCCACAGCCAACATGAGTAGTATTGCATCCCCTTCGCCTTCTCCATAAAAATAAGACAGATGGTCACATTTACAGCTCAAAACCTTTAGCCAGAGTGTTCCTCTCACCCCCACTGCCACAAGCTCCTCGTGGAAGCCCTTCCACGTCTGCCTGAGCAGCCTTTCAGTACTGGCTTGGACTTAATGGCATAAGAAGAAAATGAGGTTTTGCACAAGCAAACTGATGCATCTGTCAGGTAAGGACAGATTCTTATTTCAGACTCTTCCAGGAAACACAGGCTTGTGTTCAAGCTCTTCCTACAGAGAAAAATGCCACCAGATGCCTCTTGAGCGTCTTGAGACTACTCAGACTTCTCAGGAAACTATCTGTAACCAAAAATGGGGCCACATTGCAGGCTCACACAGGTGTTTCTCCGCTCTGCGGCTTTCTGAACACCCAATCTGACAGAATGACACGATGAAGTGATCAGCAAGCCAAATTCTTCGAATACCGTGGACAAACCACTCTGCCCACTCTCAAGCAACAGTGGCAGAGCAATATTCTGAATTCACAAAAGGAACCTGCCAGCAAGAAACTGCAACAGAGTGTTGAGGCTGCGAAAAACTAAATTGAAGATGAAGGAAGCTAATGGAGAAGGCAGAGATGGATGGCTGGGCTGAGGGTATGCTGACATCTTTGCACCAGAGACCAAGAAATCATGACCCAGGATTCTCCCACAAGTAGTACCTGCCTTCACGCGCTTGAGAAAGCAAGCGGCTCTCAAAGTGTACAAACAACTACAACTTCCTACACCAGGGCAATGAACACCTCAACAAGACCTACTTATTGCCTGCCCTCTTCATTAGCAAGGTCACTGGTATCAACAACGTTTGTGACCCTTAAGCACAGGGACTATGACTGTATCTTATTCCTGTAACAGGACTCCCCAGAATTGCTGTGCACACCAAGACCTGTGAGGACCAGGACTGACACCATGCAAGCCAACTGCTGTGGCTACTGACCGAGAAATTCCTGCACCGAAAGGGCTGCTACAAATAGCCCTGCCATCCCTGCAGCTTAAAGGTTACCTCGTCTTTTTCCTCTTGCCTGCGGCGCTGCTCCGCTTCAAATACCAGCTTCACTTGGATTTCCTGAGCGATCTCGCAGTCCTGTCGTTCTCTAGAAGGCAAGAGACAAGGATTATAGGCATCAGTCAGCCTGAAGAAAGGGATAAGAGAGATGAAGAACCATCTGATTTACACAGAAGAATTATTACCCAGTATTAGTGCAGAGCATACGAATCCTCACCAGGGACCAGGACTCCCTGTACTTCCTGCT